CCTCCCGCCGCCGCCGGGCTCGGAGGCTCCTCCGAAGCCGGGCGGGGAGGGAACACCTGCCGCCGCCGCCCGGCTCGGGCGGTGCTCCGAAGCCGGGCGGGGGAGGAAGACCTCCGCCGCCGCCCGGCCGGAGCGGTGCTCCGAAGCCGGGCGGTGGGGAGGAAGACCTCCCCCGCCGCCCGGCCGGGCGGTGCTCCGAGCCGGGCGGGGGAGGGAACACCTCCCGCCGCCGCCCGGCCCGGGCGGTGCTCCGAGCCGGGCGGGGGAGGGAACACCTGCCGCCGCCGCCCGGCCGGGCGGTGCTCCGAGCCGGGCGGGGGGAGGAAGACCTCCCCGCCGCCCGGCCGGGCGGTGCTCCGAGCCGGGCGGTGGGAGGGAAGACCTCCCCGCCGCCCGGCCGGAGCGGTGCTCCGAGCCGGGCGGGGGGAGGAACACCTGCCGCCGCCGCCCGGCCGGGCGGTGCTCCGAGCCGGGCGGGGGAGGGAAGACCTCCCGCCGCCGCCCGGCTCGGAGCGGTGCTCCGGAGCCGGGCGGGGGGAGGGAAGACCTCCCGCCGCCGCCCGGCCCGGAGCGGTGCTCCGAGGCCGGGCGGGGGAGGGAAGACCTCCCGCCGCCGCCCGGCCCGGAACGGTGCTCCGAGCCGGGCGGGGGGAGGGAAGACCTTCTGAAGGCGGGCGGGGGCGAAGTCTTTGCTCCCCCTGCCTGCCTGTCCCGGAGGGCTTTTGAAGGCGGGGAGCAAAGACTTTCGCCCCCGCCCGCCTTCAGAAGAGGTCCAGGACCTCTTCTGAAGGCTGGCGGGGGCAAAGTCTTTGTCCCCCTGCCTGCCTTCCCAGGGGCTTTTAAATTGCCCCGGACAGCGGAGAAGTCCTCCGCTGTCCCGGGGTGATTTTAAAATGCTGCCCGCCAGCATTTTAAGATCGCCCGGACAGCGGAGAAGTCCTCCGCTGTCCCGGGGTTTTTTAAAATGCTGGGGGTGGGAAGAAAAGCCCTTGCCCCCAGCCTTCAGAAGAGGTCCGGGGACAGACTGTCCCCGGACCTGGTCTGAAGGCGGTTTCCCTAGGAACGCATTAATTGATTTTCAATGCATTCCTATGGGAAACCGTGCATCGCAAGACGAAAAACTCGCAAGACGAAGAGACTTGCGGAACGAATTAATTTCGTCTTGCGAGGCACCACTGTACATGAATTGAAACAGCCACCCTTTGAAATTTGTACTTCTCCAAATTTTGCAATGCAGTTCTTCAGACATGTGCCATGTACAAAAATGCATGTACTGAGGTAAAGTGCACACAAAATACACAAAAATTAATTATAGGAGGTAAAATTGATTTGCAAAAATGTGTGTATTACAAGAAAGCTGCACTAACATGATGATGATTTTTCATCAGGACTTCTTTTTTAAAATAAGAATAATAAACTTATATGGAAGTTTCCAGAACCAAAGTTGGGCTTGGAAAAATGACAAATGGTTTGAAAGGGAAATTAAGACATTTGTCCACCCCTACCTCCATGAGCAGCAGAGGATGTTGGGACCTGGTTTGGGTAACCTGTTCCTTCAATGGAAATACCTCAATACTAGTGGTTGAGCTTGTTCTTCCACAGTAACAAGCACCAAAACACTTCTGCAATTTATTTCTGAAAGATTCTCAAGCATATCCCTCCCCAGTCTCTGAAACTAACAAGCTGATCTCCCCTACAGGTTCTGGCAGAGGAGCTGCTAGTGGCTAAATGCTGCCTGCTGCCTCCTCTAAAATGAGTCTTCTTACTCATAGCAGTGACCACAGTGATGACCAAGTGGTAGCAACATATATTTATTCCTCCCAAATAATCAAGGTAAGTAGAAGTAGCAAAGCAAATCCACTGAGGTGTATATTTGACCACCAGATAACATTAAGGGAGTGTGGGGAATCTGTGGCCCTCCAGATGATGTCGAACTACAACTGCCATAATCACCGGCCATTGGGTAAACTGGCTGGGGCTCAGTCCAACAACATCTGGAGGGCAGATGGCACTACTATCCAATCTGGCATGCCTGCCACTGTGTTTGAACCATGCCAATCTTGTTGCTACCTTAGCTGTCCCTCTGTACCTCCTGATAAGCAGCAGTAACACAACAAACTGGAAGCCATGTGAGCAGTGGAGCACCACCATGCCATCTGCTATTGGGGCCACAGATCTACCATCTCTGGCATAAAGCTCACTTTTGTTACTTTCCAATCCTGTCCTCTCTAAGAGGGACCCAAGAGAAATTCCACACATGGTACAAGAGAAGCAATTAATATTTGACTGTCTCCACATGAGATATTTACATATCTATAGTCGTTGCACAGCCATTGCCATGCCAGTGTTTCCACAATATGAGCAGGGAAACCAGCAGCCAGCCAGCCAGGTGGAGGGACAGAACAGAGCTTAATAGAGGATGGAGTTTGATCATTTGAGTCACTGAAAGAGGTAGCCCTTCTTTTTGTAAGACTGGGGTACAAAATCTTGTGCTCCTTTCATTGAATGCACTCAAACATTCAAACAGCTCTCTCTATTTTTAAGAATAATAAGTGAGATAATGGAATACATCAGTTTAAAAAGCTTTCTAGTGCACTCCATTATCATTAAGCATGGGTCTCTTTATATTCTGGATCTATGTTAGTTTTCCTATTCTGAAATCAGTTCAGGTCCATGTGAAAGCTACAGAATGAAAAAGGAGCCCATTTCCACAGATCAGAGCAATCATCCCTCTCCGGAAACTCTCCTCTAATGAGATGGAAATGAGTGTTCTTCTCTAAATTCCAAATGATAGGCTTAGACTCCTCAAGTCAAGAAATGGATATGGAACCCATTCTGCTTAAACTGTGTTCGGTGGGTGGGTGGCATTTAGGCTGAAATTCTTTATTTCTTTACTCGCTGGTAGTAAAGACAGTACTACCAGATATATATTCTGGCTTTTATTTTTTATTTTTTCCCATTTTGTAAGGTATGCTTTGGAGAAATCTTGAAGCTAAGAGACCACTCCTCAATGGGTGAAACCTTAGTGATCATACATATAGTCACTTACCAGCTTAATAGCCCTAATATCCCTATGAAAAAAGTCTGGTCATTATCAAGCAGTACTGCTGTCAAGTATCAAGTAATAGCTAACACATTAAGAATTTAATCCAAATAGTCATATGGTATTTGCCCCATTGGACATACATCAGTTGTTTGGCACCTGTCTTTCTTGGGAAGCAATGTGCCTTTGTGGGTGAAGTCAAAACATCTGAGAGTTACAGCACCGGCTGTGGCTGTAGGGACCAGTATAGGAGAGACATGTTGTGTTGCAGCTTTAAGTCGTTGACATACAGTCTTCTCTTATATATTATTTACTACAAAGGTATGTCTTAATTATGCATTCTCAATGTATTTTTAATTTTGATTTCCCTTATTCTACTTGCTAATTCAGTGCAATTCTGTTGCAACTGATTTTGACAGCTCAATGACTAAGCTCTTTAGCGACAAAACGTCAGATTACCGGAACATTGTGTGCTGCTGCAGATGCATCATGGTGTTTTTTTCTCTCTCTGCACTCTTCCCAGTGGTTATTCCTCCTCTGGCAGTTGTGAAAATGCAAATAACAGCTTTCCAATGATCCTAGTCCAAACATTAAAAACTGGACTCTGATCTATGAACGCCAGCAACTCAGGAGAAAATTGTATTTGTTTGGCATTACAAGATAGTTCAATTTGTATGGGGGGGGAGGGGAGGCAATGTTTTGTAGACTGATTTACTAAATAATTTTGCTTATCTCTCCCCTCATCTTCTCCATTGGCCTAAAATCTACATAGACATGTCTTCATTAATTATTGTGCATCTAAATAATGGCTGGAAGTTTGAGTTGTTTTATACCAAAACAATATAATGACTGCTTGCATGTGTTTATATAGAAAACACAGTCTGTCTCCCCCTCTCTCTCTCTCCCTCTCTCACACACACACTTACTACCTAAAAGCCTAAAATAGTAAAGACCACAGTGGAGAAAAAAACTTCAAGGGAAGTCCTGCCTTTAGCATGCACTTTTGTGGATTATGCTTAGTTAATACCAAGTCATTAAAGCAGGAGAAACTATTGCCAGGAAGGAACCAGACATTATATTTTGGCAGGAGAAATAAGTCTTTTAGGATTGCTTTCGCTCTGCCTCCATATCCTATTGCACACCTTTAGTACTGAAAATATTTATGCATGAGGATAAACTAAATATGGTGCAGCAAAAAGAAATTTTCTTCTTTTTAGTACACTCAGTTTAAATGACACATTTCTGTAAAAATGTGTGATGTTTGCCCAATAGTTAAGCGTACTGTAGTCTGCATTGCTTTGATTTGCCATTCATCACTGCAGTTCACCAGCTGCTTCCAAAATGCCAATAAAGCTACACATCATGCTGAGAACTGGAATACCATAACAGCTCTAGAGGTGTGCAGTACAAGAACCTAATTGGCTTTGCTAACATCCGACCTGTAGTTCTCTGGTTTCACATCCCAATTCACCACCACCATCTCCCAAGTTCTTAATGTTACTATGAAATCACTATAATTGTTCTTCACTGGGAATTTGTAGGGTTGGGGTGGTTGCCCCATTTTAGGTCAACAATCTGCTCCCTAAAATCCTTAAAGTAGCAGGTCACCCGTTCAGATCATCAGATTGTCCCCAGTGCTGCTTGCCTCTTTTGTTGACTTTATGATTATTACAGTAATAGATGTGTCACATTTATTTTTATTACAAATAACTACACCAACCCCACCCCGCAAAATAAACCCAAGCGGTTTAGCTCAAGCAGCTTACAGTGGACATTCAAACCATTCAGAACCATTCAAACCTCATACCAAATTAAACAAGAGCAGTGTCAGCCTTACCCATCACATATCCTAAAACATGAAAGGACTTCACCCAGTGAGTCCCATGGTGCAGTTCCCAGGGGGATTCAGCCTGATTTTTACATGGAAAAATGCCAGGGTCACATTTTCCCACTACAAATGTCCCAGTGCAGATCTCCCAGTACATCTCCTGGTGCAGTTCATCCAGTCACATTAATGGATGAACTGCACTGGGAGATGTACTGGGAGATCTGCACTGGGAGATTTATAGTGGGAAAGTGTGACCCTGGCATTTGATGCCATCATCTTCAGTATCTTTCTGAGGCATCTTGAATGGATGAGAACTAGGGGCACAATTTTGAAATGGCTCCACCCATTCCTTAGAAATATGGCCCAGACAGTGGTGCTGGAGGATTGTTGCTCTTCCCCTTTGACCTTTGGGGATCATGTGTGTTCCACCACATGTCCTGTGCTGTTTCATATGTATCTGAAGTCTATGTGGGAAATTATCCAGAGACATGGGCCTATGGTGCTCTGGACTGGTGGTAACACATGAGTGTGCATGCATGCATCTACAGGACACACACACCCAATGCAGACGCAGAACTCCCCTGACCTCATCACCACTCATCCCTATCCTGGTGAGTATGGGAACACCACCGACAGAAGAGCACCACTGTCAACCTGCCTGTTTCATGTGCCTCTGCTGTTGACCAGACTGCATGAAAAAGTGAACTTGCCCAGCCTTTTTCTTATGTTCTATTCCTCTGAGTAGTGGAGGCTCAATTGCCCCAGGCTTTTGGCAGCACAGAGTGGCTGGTGGATCCCAGGGAGGTTTTACACTGTAAGCATTACAACTCCAGATCACTTGTTTTACATTCTGGAATAAAGTCTAAAAGAATGCATAGATTTCAAAGGCTGGTAGTCAGAGCTACTATCTTGATTACAAGACGGCATCATCCATCTAGAACAAAGATATATTTTTATTCATATTGTTTGGTAATGTCTTCTACCCAAAACAGGAGTGATATCTTGTCCACAGTATTACTCCATATCCATGCAATGTTTTCTCAGGAGTTAAGTATACATTGCATTGGATTTATTAGCCATTCATCACTGTAACCCACCGACTGTGGAGAGGAGAGGAGAGGAAAGAAGAGCCATTCATTTTATATCATCTGCTGTTGACAGCAAGTGTGCATCAAGATATCAAGCTGGTGGGGAGGGGGGAACAAAGCAGGTGATCCTTCTAAAGATTATCTTGTATCCATCTAGCTGGTAAATAGGCAGAGCATGAAGGTAGCCTCTTCCCCACCCCCTTGCATTTCTTCTACTTCACACTGTAGGGCATCGTGTGTTGATGTAATTAATTTTGCTATTCACATTCAGTGCAGGCAAGGAAGGGAAGACCTTATGGCACTGTATCATGAGGGTATGGGGCACTCTTGGGTTATAACCTATAGTCTGAGGCTTGGGGGTACTTGGGCGGTGCTCTTAGGATCTGGCTTGTGCACCATGGTAAACACAGGACAGAAGTGCCCTGTGTGCAGGTTGGGCTTCACTTAGCAAGGTGGGAGAATCTCCTCTCATCTCTAGACTGGGGAGCTATCAACTTCATGCCCAGAACATGGAGGCATCCTGCTCTTGTATGCATTCTTTGTTTTCACTTGCTTGCACTTATTTGTTTGATTACTTGGCAGATGACCAAATAACAAGATAAACATAGCCTTTTTACCATCTAATAAGTTATCTTGAGTCTTCTTTCTAGGTGTAGGAGCAATGAGAATGTTTCTTCCCTTTTCTTTCCATTTCATTTCTCCTTTTCAAATTCAAGTTTGTCTGGGGAGAGGTTTGTAAGTATAGCCTTCTCAAAAGAACACTCATGCTCCAAAATGCTGGAAAATTACAGCTGTTATGGATCATGCCCTTATCAGCCACATATATTTACACAACATTGATATGGGATAGTATCCTAGCTTGTGGTTAGTTCCAGCTTCGCCGTAGAGCAGAATAGCTATCAGTGGCAGAGGGTTAGACCCAAAGTCGTCTCTTCCCTGGAATACACAAATGGAGTTGATGCATCTGAAGCTACTATTCCATGTTACAAATACCCGGCTATCAACCAGTGCCATCCATGTAGAATGACAAAGCTGCTAGCACTCTGCCCAAGTCTCAGCGTGCTCTTTTTGATCACATGCAAGCACAGACTCTGAAATATACCAAAACTGAAAACTCAGGGATATATTTAGAGGGATAAATAATAACATAATAATGAGGAATAATCATAATAACAAGGAAAGTCTTAAAATGTGTAGAAACGTTTCTGTTCTGTTCATAACTGTTAGGTATACGTGGGGGACTTTAATGGATTGTAATTTTAAGATTTTTTTTTGTTTTTACCTGCTTTGTTAATAGCATTGGAATGGCTTTTGTTTCAATTGCTCATTCGCTGTCTAGATGAAGGGCAGACTATAAGCATTGTTGTTTTTGCTGTTGTTGCTGCTGCTGTTAATTTCATTTCTATACCACTTTATATTTTAAAGAAAAAAATATCAAAGCAGTTTACAATCTACATTAAAACATCAAATAAAACAATCTAGAATAAAACATCACTGAAGTCAAATATAAAGCATACATTCAAAGCAACATAATTAACAGAAAACTAAAATATCTTAACAATTTCCAAATTAAACATTACAAAGGAGGTCAACTACATAATGCACATTTAATGTGACTAAGTTTATAAAAAGCTTAAACGTTTCAAAAGAAAATGCACATTTAAAACAGCACAATTAGCAAGAGAATAAAATATTATCATAAGCATAGAACATATCTGTTGCTATTGCTGCCAGTTGTGCCAATAGTGGTTTATAACCACCATTCATTGTTCATTGCAGCGGAAACTCAGGCTGGATGGCCTGCGCTAAGTGATAGCTAAGATAGTACTCCTAATGAACAAATTTAAAAATGGATCAGGTGTAGGTGCTGACCGAAATCATTATAGATGTTATTGTGATCAGAATTTCTCTGTATTTCATATAACACTCAAAATCCAAATGCCATTTCTGAAGGAATGACAAATCATGGAAAATAATGCTTGTTAATATGAGAGACTGAACTAATTGAGATGTTAAGTGTTACATTTGAATCTACATTGCCAGTTGGCATTATGAGGCTCTAATGTAGAGTTGCCTGACAGGGAATTTCCTCTTGGTGCAGAGAAATTCAAATAGCATATTTGGGAAGAACTAACTGTGGGTCAATATGACAACACTCTTCAGGTATTCAGGGTGAATGCATATGGGCTTAAAGTGGGGAGAACCTCCTCACAGTTGAGAACCCTGATAAAGCAGGACAGACCACAGGAAGGATTTCAAACAGTGGTGGTTTGTGGGACAGAGCTGCTTCCCTGACATCTCATCACTGCTGTTACTGTGGTCAGGGCCATCTTACCCATAGGCGCTAGGTGTGCAGGGCACCCGAGCTCTGGGCTCTCAGGGGCACCAGGCTGAGAGTCCAGGGCCCAAGAGTTGAGTCCGGGGAAGAGCCCATCCGTTTGTTGGAGCGCCACAGAGGGCTCTTCTGCTGCGGGCAGCTCTGCGCCATGAGTTCAGGGGCGACCGAGCCAGCGAGATGCTGAGGCGACCGGCCGGCTCCGCCCCCCTCCACGCCTGGCCTGGGCAACCTGGGGGGGGAGGCCACTGGACGGATGTTTGCACCCTGGTGCTGCGTATGCTTAAGACAGCCCTGACTGTGGTGTACCCAGGTCAGAAGAGACAAAGCAGTGGTCAGGTCAGAGTGGTGGAAACACACCAGCAGTATTGCTGGATTGGCTCTGCTGGTGCATTTGCACTGTACCAACCTCACCACTACCTCACCCTTTGCAGTAAGGCAGTGACAGCGGTGACTGGAGGTCAAGGGAAAGAGCCCTGCCTTGCCCCCCCAACCTCTACTGTTCCAAAAGCTTTCTGTTAAACATGATCAGAATCTCCTTTCAGACCTTACCTCCCAGGGAGGAAAGATTCAGGCAAATGCCTGAAGTGGTCTATAATAGTGCTTGCATGTTCTTTCATCTCTGTGTATTTCATCAAGACTCCTAGTTCCTCTCTACTCCTCCTTATTCCCATTCACCCATACACTGTTCCAGTGCCATTTTCATGACCATGTTAGCCCTTGCCTAAGGTTGCAATCCTATGTACCGTTACTTAGGGAAAGCCCCATGGAATGGAATGGGGATTACTTCTGAGTAGGTGTGTTTAGGCTTGGACTATAAATCATTCAATTCTTGCAGATATCCAACTTGAAGTAAATTATGCAGGAGGGGAAAAGTGTTTCCATGAAGAAAGACACATTCTTTCTTTGAAAGTATCTCAGTGGGGACTTGACCAGCTGTTCTCCTTTGGATCCTGCTGTCACTGCTGTCAGGTTTCCAGCTGTTTATGGCAATGACTTGTGCGTGGCATGAATGATGTTCTCCTGTGGTCAATGCTATTAGTATCATGAGAGACCGTCTTCCATTTGCTACCATTTTATGTCATGCATTTTATTTTCACTTTCACTGATGCCTCCCTCCCTCCCCCTCTCTCTCTCTCTATATATATATAGAATTAAGGTGTCATGATTGATCACGAGGAGAACTGCCAGAAAACAGCATTATTGTCAGAGCACAATAATGCAGTGTGGATCTACAATTGTTGCCCATAAGAAAGCTATTTCACTAAAGGCTCAGGACTTTTCAGGCATGCATACTTTACTTGCAGTCAGATTGCAACATACATCTTATGGCTACCTGAACAGTCATGTTAGGCAAGCATGTCTTGATCAAATGAATGGAAATGGTTTGACAGACAGGGTCCATAAAATCACAATAATGCAGATTGGTTGATGTAAACAGGATAAAATACTGAAGCATTGCAGATGTCATGATAATATGTAATGGTTGTTCATATGAGCATAATTTAAAAGTAATTCTTATGGATTTATTTAACAGATTTATAACCCACTTTTCAAGAGACATTCTTCACAAAGTGGCATTACAAAATACATATTTACCACTAAATCTACCACTACCACTAAAAACCAGCACATCTACCACTAAAAACCAGCACAAAAATAACAAAGGGTTTCTAGTGCATGGCAACTCGTTGACCACAGAAATAATCAGAGTAGCATTTGGAAGTAAGAGAACTTAAACTTTCAAGTAAGAGAAATTGAGGGGGCCAAAGACACCTCGGCCCCCTAGAGTTGGCACACCTGACATGGTCA